GGGGATATAGCGGAAAAAAACCCTGATCCTAATTCACTTGGACTTTTTGCCTCCGGGGAGATTGCCCCCCCCCCCCCAACCCTTCCAAGCCACAACCGTGTAACGTAATCTGCATTGTGAAAGAGGCAATAGGCCTACTTGGCAATAGCATATCTGAGCAACTGCTTCAAAAGAAGAATGATATCCGTCACGGACACTGAAACTGGGCCGCCTATGTCATCCAAGTGTAACTTTGTGCGCTCTTCGCGTGACCCCGGGTAGTCCAGGCGCGTGACTATTTGAACAAGATCGGATCCAATGTCTACACTAAGACGTGTGTTATGTGGTCAGAAGTGGATCAATTCTGTTAAGGAATACAAGCTCTGCGTCCATTATTTGCATTGGGCCTCTGCGTTTGAAATTGATTGAACTAGTCTGATCACATATTTTTGTAAGTTACAGATCGAAGCAACCCGTTAATTGCGTGAGGCTACTGAGGCGTAAATGATGTAAAACATATATGTGCTTGAAATGTATTATCTATGCTACAATTATATGACTTTATGATTTTTTTTTTATATTTAAACTATTTATGCCAGAATGCCACATGCACCACGCCACGGGCCAACCTACAAAATAACTTTAAGACTAAATTTTCTTTTGATTAACCATTTAACATATAATGTTAAAAAAGCCCCATTTGTAACGCATTATTTTTTTTAAAATAATAACGGTTGCCTACATTATTAGGCTAATAAGCAAATTTCGTTCTTCTTAAGCCTTTTATAATTTATAGTGTAAGTTGGATATCCTTTTAGACATTTCTACAACAACAAAAAAACACAAAAAAAAACCATTAATTCACATGATTGATAAAACCAACGCTGTAGGTAGGCCTATATATTTTAGATAATGCTTTTATTTAAAGACGGACCTGTGTACCAAAAAGCACTTGTGTATGTAGTAGGCCTACATGTATTCATATTATGTAGACTATGTGCAGTGGTGGTTCAGAGAAGAAAGACACAAATTAAGATGATGATATAAATTAATTATTAGGATGCTACTTTAAATATTAAAAAATCTAAATTATGTCATTGTAACAACTGTAATCCCAGTCTCTGGAACAGACGGCCTCTCAAACATGGAGTGCTTCACTTTGAGTTTGTTGGGACTTGCAATCCTGCTCTTGGTGTTGGCTTTTGCCAAATTTATGTCAGCCAGCCATGACACTTTCCATAAAATGGGCATTGACACCCCACCGACGTCTCTGATCCTCGGCCACTTTGGGTTGTCTGTAAAGTTTGGCGTTTTCAAAGTTCAAACAGAATTCTACAAAATGTTTAAAGATAAGAAGGTAAGTTCTGTGTTCTATACAACAACACATCTGTTATGTAGGACTTCCCCGTGCCGTGCACTTTGTTTGACCCCCACATTAGATTCCTAGCAGACGTTAACGTTTGTTGTGGGCGTGGTTTTAATCTCTTTGTTCTATGGTATTTACTGCCGACTACCAATTAAACAAGTTAAGTCTGCCTCCTAGTATCTTGTTGAACGTTCTCAATTTACAATGTCTGAGTAGTTTCTGGAAGGCAGTGCTTACGCTGCATATATAAGGGAATGACAGGAACAGAGGTTCACGGAGATTGAGAGAGAGGTAGATATTATTAACTTTACGAGACAATTGTATTATTCTTTGTGTGCTCAAATGTGTTTATTTCGCATTCATCATTATTAATTGGCACATTGTACTAATTGAAATTGTGTACCGGTACAAGATTTTCCCATACTCTGTAAGTTGATGATTTGTAATTATATTTCTTTGTCTTGTAATTGTATTATTTCTAAATTAAATCTTATTAATTGTCATTGGCATCTTTATTATTGTATTTCTCTATGGTATCGTCCTTTGTTGTGCACTGTGTGAACGAGCCATAACTTAAGATATTAATTTTTCACAATAGAATCCAGTGCGTAACAACATCCATATAAGAAAATACAGAATTCAAGTTTAGTGAATCCAATGATCCCCAAACTGTAGTCATCAAGCCATTGCTTTTAGTGTACAATAGTTATAAATGATGCCAAAAGACAGGAGTTAAGGAAACAATTTTTTTTTTTACTATGACAGTTTGAGAGAAATCTGTGAGCTTATCGTCACTAGGTCCAACTAAATTTGTCCATAGGTTTACGGGTGGTATGACACGAGGACACCCATCTTGGTCATCAAAGACCTGGACATGGTCAAAGAAATTATGGTCAAAAGTTTCAACCACTTCATTGACCGCCGTGTGCCCATGGAGCACGACTTGCCCTTTCGAGACAATCTTCTGACCCTGAGAGGTAGCAAGTGGAAGCACGTAAGAAGCACAGTGAGTCCCACATTCAGCTCGGGGAGAATAAAGAAAATGTCTCCTCATGTTGAGAGGAATGCCAAGAAACTGATGAAGCACCTCCAATCAAAGCAAGAGAGCGGTGAAGAGTTGGAACTGAAGGAGTTATGTGGTTGCTTCACTTTAGATGTTATTGCCAGCATAGCATTTGGGCTGGAGATTAATGCACTTGAAGACCCAGACAACAAATTTTCCACGGAAGCAAAGAGAATCACCAGGCCGAATCTTTTGTTGTTTGCCCTAATCTTGTTTTTCCCCGAGCTGGGAAATATTTTCTCGAGGCTAGGTTTACCGATTTTCCCCAAGTCGTCCATGCAGTATATGGCCAATGTGATTGACGCAGCCATAGAAGAAAGAAAGAGAGATGGAAGTGAGGGAAAGTTTAATGATTTTCTAGACCTTGTCATGAGTGCTGAGAAAGAAGATGGAGAGGCAATCAAAGAAAGACTTACTAGATCAGAGATTCATGTAAGTACCGGTACTTAGCTTTATAGCTTGCATTTACATCTCATTCTTTGACTAATGTCAGATACATATACACTGTTAATTGTAATTGTAAAATAGTTTATTAAGTTCACTTCAGCATACATCCATGTAGAAATTAATTAGCAAAATTATGTCATATGTTACTGTAAAGGTGGCTGCTGCCATTTGAACTTTTGTTCAAACTGAGCCATGAAGATCTTAGAATTTCACAGTGTTGTCAGTGTTTCCCAAAGTGCTAGTCTGGCAGCTGGCATCAGTCCGCAAGCCTTGCATTGGTAGTGGGTAGTCTGGGGACCGGCATCAGTTTGCAAGCCTTACATTGGTAGTCAAAGGACTGGCATCAGTTTGCAAGCCTTACATTTGGCTCTGAACAACAAGAAACTGAATGCCTTAAATAAAGTTTACCAAAAAAAATATGTATAACTGCAGGCTCAAATGGAATTAGTGATTAGAGTCCTTTGGCATTGGCTGAGCAAAGATAAAAAATATTTTACGACATATTTAGGGTCGAATAACAAAGTTTGGGAATCACTGCTCTATATTTTGTTCATCATACTAAGTGCTTTTATTTTATTATTCACCCTCAGGCTCAGTCCATAATTTTTCTTTTTGCTGGCTTAGATTCTGTTTCGACCGTCATGTCTTTCACATTGTTCCTACTGGCCGTACATCCTGAGTGCTGCAAAAAAGCACAAGCTGAAGTTGATGAAAAAATTGGAAAAGATTTTCCAAATTATGAAAATGTTCAAGGTCTCAATTACTTAGAAATGTGCATCAGTGAAGCCATTAGAATGGCACCACCAGGGATTTTCATTGACCGACAATGTGTGGAAGCCATAGACGTCCAAGGAGTTCACATTCCCAAGGGCATGGTGGTCTTAATTCCCGTCTACGCCATTCACAACGATCCGGATCTTTGGCCAGAACCTGAAAAATTTGACCCAGAGAGATTCAGCTCGGTTAACAAGGAGAGCCGCCACCCTTATGCATTTCTGCCTTTTGGGCATGGACCAAGGAATTGTATTGGTATGAGACTTGCCATGCTTGAACTCAAAATCACCATAGCAGCGGTGTTACAAAGGTTTTCTCCCATTTCCTGTAGTAAGACAGTTTTCCCATTTCAATTAACCAAAATCCAGGCCAGGGCGGTCGATGGCGCTTGGGTTAAGATAGAAGGGAGACAATAAAAAGTTGGGATCACATTGCGAAACACAAGAAACAAACTTTTTAAAAATCTGATTGTTCAAAACAAGTTTATTGACACAAAACATTAGTGTTCAAATCATTTTTGTATCAAGTTTTTAATTCTACATATGTTAAATGTTACAAAAATGTATTTTTAAAATCCAAGTCCAAGTGAACACATTTATTATCAGATTTATCATAAAATGCAATGTAAAGAAACAATACCAACAATTTATCAAGGTTAGCATCAAGTCCCAGAAAAGGTTACAATTAGAAACAGGCGAAAGAGCCAATTATTAAATCATTTTTCATCTGTAAATCACCTGGTTCAGATGAGAAAATCTAATTCTATGTTTGATTTGTGTTTGCTTTATAGAGATCATCAGCAAAAAAAATGTTTAATACAATTTGGTTTAAATATAATATGTCCAGCAACCCATATAGAATTAAATTAATTTGTATAATGCAGATGAAAAGAAAATTGATATATTAACGAAGAAATTTCCAACCTCTTTTTACACAGATCAATCATTAAAAGCTTTTGTAGATAATGACTAAACTCTATTCTAAACAAGTATACTAAAATAGCATAGACAATTTATATTAACTTAAAATTTACTTGACTAAAGATCTTGCAGTGGTAACACAACCATAAATTTATTAGCAACCAGTTAGAAAAAAATAGAACAGCTAATGCGCACGGCAAAGGAAGAAAGGGGCATTTCAAGTCCACTTCCTCTTCTTTATAAGTTATATAGCTTACTTTTTGTCCTTATGCATATTTTGTATATATTGCGGGATTTCTTCATTAGGGGCCACGATATCAACGACTGCACCGGAGGGGGTCACTGCCAATGTGCCCGTCGGCTGATGCTGGATGTCACATTTCAAATCAGATTTATTATGAGAAAATTCCACTCAATAAAATTTTTTTTATCATTTTATAATGATCTAAGCCAATGGAGCTTTTAATGTTTTATATAACACAAACATTTTAAGAAATTCAACAATAAATTTATACATACAAGACAAAAACAACTAATTGTCCTCAATATTTATTCAGGTTATTTTTAGAGTGCAAGGATGACATTGTTTTGTAAAATCTTGATTATAATTTTGATTCTCATAGCGGACGACTCTAGGACCCACCTTTCTAAGTTATAGACATCTCTATATTTTATTACAAAATAAATTAGTTGACACCCACAAAACATGGATGAGTCTAAGATTTCTAACATTACCACAATACATGGGTGAGTCTAAGATTTCTAACATTACCACAATACATGGGTGAGTCTAAGATTTCTAACATTACCACAATACATGGGTGAGTCTAAGATTTCTAACATTACCACAATACATGGGTGAGTATTGGATTTGTAACATTAAATAATGAGGACTCTCACTTTATGCATTATTTTATTAATTATTTCCATTAAATTCTATCATGATCTAAATCATCAGATTTTACTTGCTTTTTTTGTGTGTGTGAAAATGATTAATTAAATTGGACTTTTTGCAACATGCACATTTTTACCTTTGGTTGGATTGTCTCCTAGCAACTTGTAATGCTAGTGGTCGTTTTAAATAAGGCCAACTAATCCTCTCCTCGGAATATTTTATTAAATCAGATCAAGCAGTCATATGAGCATGGTATTCAATGATGAGTTTTAGATTGGAATAGCAAAAGTGGCCAATGCTGTGACACTGTTAATGTGCCTCAGGACTGGTGACTCATGTGGACTATTAGAAAATAAAAAAAAAATATTTCTGTTGAGTGATTCAAGAAGTTATTTTCAGTCTTAACTTTCAAAGGCAAATGGAATGAATTTGGGAGGGCACACATGCCAACCTGCGGTTTGTGGGATAAGAAAACTGTACCGGTACAAAAAGTTCCAAATAACTAGAACAGCATGAAAACATTTACCGAAAAAAAGAACAGTACAAGTTATTCTAATTTCTTCATCATTATTAATGCTTTGAATGTATGAATAAAATATGAGTTATACGCCCATTGCTGCATGCACATTTTGGCATGTTTACATTGTTAATAAATACATAGCTTGCATTTTTAAAATGCAGCTTGTTTTAAGTCCAGTTTTTGTTAAATTTAGAATTTTTTATACACTGTCATTGCAATTTTTATTAAAAATGATGAATTTGATTGCAGTTTAAATGTAATTAGACATATGGCTTCAGTTAACTATGCTAGCAAAAGTAATATACCACCTAATTAAATTAAGAAAGTAAGATATCATCATGTAAGTCCTTATATAAGTTATTGAGTTCAGTTTACCTTCAAATTATAACCTCATTTTTCACTGTACAGTGCTGGAGAAAAAGTTTCATTTGGATCGGAGGATTTGGTTTCAAACTATGTGGATATAAAATGTTAATTGGACGCATCCAGCTGGAGTCAAAGGAATAAATACAAAAAGAATATAATATAATATAATATAGCCTGTAATTCTCACTGATGTTGGCTCTGAATAACATAAACAGCAAAGAAGATCACACCCGCTTTTAATCTTAGAAAGCATTAGCACGTTCAATTAAGGTAGGCCGTAGTTATAAATAGGAATAGTGACTAATGCTAGCCGTTGTAATAAATAAAAAAATAATGACTAATACTAGTCATTGAAAGTAATTTTTCATATATATAATTATTTACTAGAAATTAAAAGAACACTTGACCTACTAACCTTGCACTTCTCACTATGGTCAAATTATTTTGTTTCTAGCCAGTCTCTTGATCAAGTCTGCTTAAATAAAGTTGTATTCAACTTAGTCTGAGTAGGACTTAAACTATACACCTCACCATAAATAGGAGCCAGAATGATCAATGCATTGATCCTGGGCCCTAAAGATATAGAAGGAGACGAATTACAACAAAGGATTTGTAATTATAGTTCACTACTCAAAGTTAGTTACTACAGTCCTCAGCTGTCTTAGTAGGTATTAATAAATGATATTTAAGTGAAACTGCATTCAAATTCTAAATTTAGATGTTCAATGAGATTAAAGTTTCTTTGACAAACATATAAAAACCGTACAAAGCATGGGTAAACCGTACTGGTTGGCATGTATGGGGGAGGGAGAGATAAGAAATCACCTTTAATATTCCTCCATCTAGATCCGCCAGTGACTAAAATAAATAATTTATTTCATTGTTATTGTTAAAGACTATTCCTGAACAAAATTTTGTTATTAGTATTGATTTTACTGCATCAGAAAATCTCAATTAGATAGATTTATATTATGGTACCGATATTAAAAAATTCCTTAAACATACAATAAATAATATCCAAATTGTTAAACATTTAAACAGATTAGGAATACAGCAGTTTCAGATTAAGTAGACACTGATCAACAAAGCAGAAGGCAGACTTGACTACGTTGTGCCCGTATTATCACAATGCTGATATATGAAATGCTGGTTTTATTGTGTGCTCTTCAATGTCATCCTCTAAGCTTGGGTTGTGTTGTAGCCTCCACAATGATTGCATTTCAGACCTTCTGTGTTGAACAGCTGTTCACTATTCTGTTCATGAAGAAGACAGCAACAAAAAATAATTCCTAAAATATTAACCTCATTTTTTATAACAATAGAATGAATAGCTGGCCATATTTCATGGCTTAAATTTTGTAACAAAAGTGATACAGTTCTGATGACCTTGACTAGCATAAGTGACAAATCTCTGATGACCTTGGCTAGCATAAGTGACACAGCTTTGATGACCTTGACTAGCTTATTCTAAAACTTTATCATTGCTTATTATTTGTCAAAAATATAATTAGATATGCATTTGTGTATTGGAAAGTGACACATTGCCGCCGCCAATGTTTTGCAGGTTGTTTCTTTACTTATATTTTAGTTTATCTTTAAAAACAAGAAAAAGTTATCTTCTATTTTTCTTGTATACTAACCTTATGGCAGTCTTGGCATAAAATTTGTAGCTTGACATTTCGCAGGTCCTCTGGAAGTTGCACAGCAGCACAGACTTCATCCATTTGTTTCCATACATCTCCCATATCCAGGAGAGATTCTTTACACATAGGACACTGGTACAATCTGTAGACAAGAAATATAAATATAAAACATGAAATAAAAGGGAAATCGAGCGTCTGATAGATTTATCCAACTCCTTATAATATTAAACATTAAAGTCATGAATTCTTAATCTTATATTTTGCATTTTTACTCTTAATCACAGAGTAATTAATCATACTACCGGGTACTCAGTATCTCTCTTTTTTTTTATATATTTTAAGGGGGGACAGGTAGTCAAAATGCTAAAATTTTAAATACATGACTAAGACAGAATATTTTTTGCTAATCAAATTGCAAAAGCAATAAAAACACTTAAAAAAACCAATTGGGACTAATTAATTATTTTTTTTTATGCTTTTGATGAGAAAATAGGGGTAAAATTGAGCAATTTTATATACTTACAGGAAACAGCGTAGCTCAATAACCACCAATAAGAATTCAATGAAACTTGGCATAAATATTAATAATAGGACATTGCACAATGTGATAGAAGGAAATTAGCATAACTGAAAAAATAATTTTTTTGTGAATTTTTTAAAATTATGTCAAAAAATAATCCATCATTTACGTAAACTGTCCTATCAAAATTCAAAATAATTTTTTTGTCTCTTAAAATAGAATAAAAACCCTCTATCACATTGTAGATAAACATGTTAGGAACATGTGGTGCAAATTTCTTTATAATCTGATAGGTTGTTTCTGAGATACACTGCTTCCAATAACCTGACCCTCGTAAAATTGACACAAATGAGAAAATGCAAAAAGAAGTTTTATTATTGAAATAATTTATTTTTCAAATAATTAAAGTGGCATAAAGTTATATTATTATATCACCTTGGCTTCTTGAAAATATGATACATCAAAAATATATTTAAAAAGTCTTTCTGTGGAAAAAATATAACTGATTCTCTAGCCCACCCCCCAAAGAAAAAAAATGCGAAAAATTTAAATAAATCTGCTCTGAGATAAAACTGCCTCTTTTCCTCTTATGTGTTGTGGAACCTCTTCTGAGCAATAGCTGACTGCCAACAGTAACATGTCTTTCCAGTAGGGCAGTCATGGTGTTTAGGGTTCTCATCAGGCCAGGCAGCTGCAAGCATGCGGAAAATGTCAGAATATTCCTCCGAAGGTCTTTTCATCTGTAACTTTCGATGGCCACTGCATTCTCACAGAGCCACTGCTGAAGATTCATTTTATCTGTTAAAAATGTATATATAATTACACTTTGCTCCATCAACAATAAATATAGTAACAGCATTACATTTTTTTTTATAAATGCAGATAGATAATATATTGAGCAGCTGTTCGTGGGGCCTGTAGAGATGACAATATAAAAAAACAATTATATATCATTATGATATAAACCTTACAATACTTCCAGTCTTACACTTACACCCACCTGGCATCAGGTGTCATGGCACTCTTAGATTCTACTGCCACCATGTTTCCAAGAGTAGTACCTGTTCGAAGCAAGCTGTACTTTTGGCTCGCAGAATCGCTGCTTGTTTTCTTGGTGCCATTTCACTGCAAATAAATCAGAACAATTTAATTTTAGTCATCAAGGTAAAGAAAGGATTACAAATGAAGTGGTTAATTCCTTATCTTTTAAATTGTTGATGATGAGAGAATTCAATCAAACCCAACAACACCCACACACCTTTCAAATAACTAACCTCAAACAAATTTTTTTTTTTTTTTTTTAGTTTACACTCAATTCTTGACAACTAAATAAGCACATGATAAAATATATCTGGTTAATGATAGTTATTAAATATTAAAACTTTGAAAAAAGTATATATATATATAATTGATAATTTAGTTAGTTTCAGAACTGAAATGATCCTTGTATTTATAATAATTTGTATGGGTAGGTTGTCACTACTGACGTGAGAAAGCATGACGTTGACGATACTGATACTAGTACTATTACTAAAACAATTTTTAATAATGAAATGGTAAATCATACTACATCCATATTTACCTTTGGCTTGTTATTGAACAAATATAGTGAGCACGAAAAGAGCAGCCTTTGATAAATCCAATGTAAGTCTGACAAACGGTGGATAGTTTTATCAACACAGAATGGTTGCGAAACGAAAGTAACCGTGTTGCATTTCGGTATACGGTAACCCAATTTGTGCTATTTTTGGTAACATTACTTATAGTTGACCAATGAAATTACAGGCTTTACTACACGATGACGTAGAAGCCGTCTAAACACACTTTTACAACAAATGTGACGTATTGCACAGCTCGCTTCTCTTTGTTAGGTAGAATGATTTTGAGATAAGTAGGTCACAGTTGTAGCCAGTGGTCTAAGCTTTCCAAAGAGGCCTAACAATAGGCATTAGGCTTGAAGGAATGCGGTTGTAAAGGGTTTTAAAATGACCATAACGTGTCGGAAAGCCGATTTTCCTGAAATGGTTGCCTAGATACGTGTTATATTAGGACAAATTATGTACTTAAAACAATTATTTTTAGCAAATTTTATTTGGGGATTGTGTTTATAAGAGGTTATTGTAACCAAATAGACACTTTTTGGAAAATTGAAAAAAAAAAAAAAAA